GCTTGAGAATAGTAAGTAAAACAAGATATGGAGGATAATGATACTTTGTCATTTTCACCTTCATTTTTGTTTGTTTCAGTGCCTGATATGGGATAGTTGCTATGTTACATGTTTTCCATGCATTATATATTGGTTTTCAATATATGAATATATACCTCTTTCTCTCAGCTTTCAGTGTATCTATTAGTTTATATACACAGGAAACATATTCAAATGCAGTTATACATATTTACTTATGTATAAACATACATATTAGCACCACGTACACACACCCATTAGCTTTGTGTATATTACGAAAACCCAGGTGGGGAGCTAGTAAGGTCAGTGGCAGAAACTCGGCCCAGAAGGGTTAAGTGAGTTACCTGCAGCCTCACAGCTAGGAGGCGGCTGGGCCACAGATCAGCTCTGTCTGTCTCTTAAGGCCGCACTGACGTGCCTCACCTGACAAGGACTACACCCGCTGTGGATGGCAGGGATGCTGTGCTAATTGTGGAGAAACCTTTATGAATGCAATTCTGGGCTGCAGAGAAATTCTGAGTCAATATTGAAACATGTAGATATCCCCAGCCCCTGACACCTTTGAGCCTGAAATGTCATATCTTGTGATAAAGGTGACATGGAATCAGGAAAGCACACAGGGGTGTAGGCGGCGATGTTTTTACTGCAGAACATCCCGGAAGCCTTGACTTTCTCCTCTCAGGGAAGCCATCTAGGAGGTGGCCTTCTCCCACCGGTGCCGTCCACCTGCATCCGAGTTTAATCCCCTCCAGCACTGGAAGCCAGGGTGCTTCCCCGGCCTGCTTCCCTTCCCAGCTGAATTCAGGGAGCCTGTGGGCTGTCCCAGCTCCCACACCTGTCACCAGGGAGAAGGGCAGGCCTGGGAGCTGGGGGTGATGGATTCTTGATGAAAAGTCCCTGAAGAAATCAGTTCCTTTTCGGTGACAAAGTGACATGAGGCAAAGAGGGCTGCATGAGGTGAAAAGCAAATTCCTCCAAGCAGGTGTTTGCATCAGTCCCGGTCTGGGAGAGGCCCATGGATCTGCGTGGCAGGCTGTCCTCCCCACCCTCGTAGCTGCGCTCTGTGGAGTTGGAGCCTTTAAAATTCAATGTTCTGCTGCTCCCTCTGACCATCTGCTCACTCCATTTCCAGAGCTGAGGCTCGGTGCTTCCTAAACATGCTGTCTTCTCCTCTGCTGTGGACTGTCCACACTTCCCTGATGAGTTAGCCATCTACCCTGCACCCTCCAGGCTGTCTACCCTGCGCCCTCCAGCTTTTCTCTTGGCCACATATCTGGGCATCTCTTCCAAATGGTCATTTGTTTGCAGGTCCCCTCTGTTTGTTCTCTGAGGGTGCAGGGAAAGGCTGGCACCCCAAAGTCCAGCCATGCAGCCTAACCTGGGGCCGGTGCCATCCTGGGAGAGACTTCCTCTCCCATTGCCCTCTGCCTTTCCTGGGTAGAATCTGTTGTTACCAGAGGTTGATGGGAGGACGGGCAGAAGTGGGAGTGGCGGGAGGTGGGAGATGGAGCCTGAGCCGGGGGTGGCAGGTGGTGGGAGGAAGGAGCGGGCTCTTGGAGCCAGGTGGTAGCTTGTGGGAGGAGGGCGGAAGGGACAGTGAGACACAGTGAGATGGGGTGGCAGTTGGTGGAGGCGGGGAAGGAGAGCGGAGGAAGTGTGAGGCAAGAGTTTAAAAATGTGTTTGTTTACTTTGGGCTGGAGCAGAGGCAAGTTGGGGGTAGGAGCCTTTCATGTTCCCTTTGGGAGCTGGGGGCCTCCAGCTTTGGAGAGGTGGTTCTGCATTTGTGTTTGGTTGGGGCTCCTGGATGTCACCTGGGCACCCCATTGGCTTGGAAGAGGCTGGGAGCACATCTTGCTGCAGGGTGTGTGGGGGTTGGCGGGGAGTGATGGAGACAGTGTGGGGGCCGGGGGCAGTAATGGAGACAGAGGCAGAGGTGTATGGAGCTTGTGGCCCCAGTGATGGTGGTGGCTGCCTGGCTCAGGCCTCTGTGTCTGAGTTGCCAAGCTGGGCTGGTAGTGCAGTGACTCATGTCGTGAACAGCTGCTTTGCCTGTGATTACTTTCTGTAAGAGGAGTGGCAAATGAGGAAGGCCAAAGTCCCTGTGATCCCATGCGAGAGAGGAAGACACTGGAGTGAAATGCTCCATGGAGGCTTTGCCCACGCAGGGGTGCCCCCGAGATGCGGGCAAATGGAACCAAGTGGAGAGGTCCGTGGCTGCCCCAGAGCTGGGCTTTCCATTACCAATAACTTGGAAAGGCAAAATGAGTGAGAAAAAATATTATTACTGAGGAAGTCAACCCTAAAACCTGCTGTTGTGGAAAGAATGACACTCTCATTCCATGTTCCGGGAGAAAATGGTCAGCTCTGCTCAGAACCAGGGTCCCCGCCTCCTCCACCTGCCCACTTTCCTGCTCTCCTGTGTCTGTCAGTCCCCAAGGCAGTGGTATTTCCAACTCTCCCCTGCAACACCATCACGATGGAACAATCAGTGCATCTTTCTGAGCCTCAATCAGATCATCAATAAAATAGAGATTCTCATGTCTGAATTGTCTCCGCAGTCAGGTGCCTGACCAGACAGACTCTCCTGGTGGTTTCCAGCAGTGTTTCAGGTTGATCATCCCCGTGTTAGGCAAGTGGAAGGTGGGAGGCCATAGCCTGGAGACCACAGGCCTAGGGAGGCTCTGAGACTGACTAGTAAATCCTGCCATTACTGCAGAAGAATAAATGCCTGGGTCTGTTCGGCCTTCCTCTTTCTTCCTGGTTTCATCTACAGCACTGATTTTCAACCACTCACCTGGGGGTGACTTTGCTCCCCCAGGGAAAATTTAGCCATGTCTGAAGTCACCTTGTTGTCATACCTAGAAGGAGGGTGCTACTGGCTTCTAGAGGGTTGAGGTCAAGTTAATCATCCCACAATTCACATCAAGAATTACACAGCTGCCAAATCTCACTGGTGGCCAAGTTGAGAAAGCCCAGTTCATTCCTTCCCAGTGCCAGAGAGAAGCTATGGCCATCAGAGAGGTGAGTTTCTTACCAACCAAGTAAAGGACATTCACCAGAAGGTGAGGGTCAACGTGATCTCCGAGATAGCAGAAAGAAAGGAGATGAATTTGAGATAACAGTGCTAGCCCCATTTCCATTTGCACAAAGACCAGTAATAACTTACAGGAATGTTACACATGATGATTCTAAAATTTGCACACTTATTTTGCTGTTTTGCATACCCCTGCATGTTTGTACCAGTTAAATGCTTTAAGCCACATGCCTGTTCTGGAGATGGCAAGGGAGGGAATTGCATTCTTATTTGGAAATGGCTGCTAGGGGGAAGCTCCTGGGCAGTGAGCACAGGAGGCAGCAAATAAAAACCACAGAATCAAGAAACTCCCACCCTGAGGGACGTGGGAGGGAGGAGATGGATGAGCAGGCAGGGTGGGAAGCCCCCTTGCATGGAGAGTTGGCTCAGGCCTTCTAGTCCATTTCAGCCCTGTCAGCCTCAGAGGTAGGTAGGATCTCTGATTCCAACTGAACATGCCTGTAATCTCAACCAGGAAGCAATTATCCTTGAGTTTACAAGATGTTTTCCAGTAAGGACAAACGTGTGTCTCACAGTGAAAAAATACCAGCTTTTCAGAGGAGCACAGACAGGGAAGAGCCTACTGGCTTGCTTCTGCTTTCAATCAAACGATGCTTTTCTGCCTAATGGCGGGACTGAAATGATACATTGTACAGGCACTGCACCAATGTGATAAAGAAGCATAATCGAAGCTTCTGCTGCTGCTCCCAGCCAGCCCCTCTTAGTATCCACTGAGTGCCTCGCTCCCCTGGTCCTACAGGTAACCCAGCAATGAATAACATGAGAGAGGCTAAATCCCTCAGTTACAAGTCGAGATGACAGGAGGCAATTTGGCAAGCGTGAGCAGACAGGGGTGGTGAAGGAGTGTGCTTTAGCTCCGGGAGCCACAGGAGAGCATGAGAACCCGCCTCTAGGCTGGCCTTCAGGACCTGTTCCAGAAGCACACGGCAGAAGCTCTTGGTAAGGGAATAACTGCTTCTGTTAGTACCTGTGCTGGTAACTCAAAACCTGTACCTGCCTTCAGTCCTGTAGCTCACCTAGCTCAGCTCACCTGCAGGAGGGGCCCATGGCAAAGGAGGGCAAAGGAGGCAGGGGAATGTGCAAGGAGGGGAAGTGGGGAAGCGGGGAATTGTCAGAAGGTGGTCTTGGGGAGAGAGACTGGGCAGCCATAGTGATCCCTACCCACTATGGAAGAGGAAGGCAAATAAGAAGGGAGGTTTTGGAGAGATGAAAGGCAGTAAAAGGAAGTAAGTACCATTCTGCAGGGACAGTAGAAGGCACACTGATGGACAGCTGAGGGGGACGGCATCACTGTGGGGCTTCAAGAAGACCCCAAACCTTCTTTTTAAAGGAAACGTTGCCTCTGGTAGGGACATAGCAATGTTTTCCTGGGTGGTTGTCACTGCAGAGCTCATTAGACAATAATCATAAATAAAACATCACAGCCATGTCTTAAAGTATGTAATGGCAGGAATTGAGTTGTCAAGAGTAATGAGTTTAAGTCAAGTTACTTTTGAGATGATCCTATAACTACCTGTGTGAGTGTGAGCCTGAGATAGGGATCTCAGTATTTAAAGTTCCTAAATTTCACTGGTAGGGAGAAAGTGTGTTTTAAAAAGCACTATATAGTGGGCCTGGAGTAGCTTTTGTCCCAGGGAGAAAGTGCCATTTAGCACCTTAAAGGCCATATATGATAAACAGTTCTGCCCCACGTGAGATGACACAACGTCTTCCTCAGCCCTTAACTCGCAGCCCAGCTACAGGATCTACAGAATCTACAGGATTCTCCCATTGTCAGGAACCCTGGCACCTCCGGATGAATGGGGTCCCATCTAGAATTCTGACACCTGCTTTCCTGGGCTCTTTGTCTTGGTTGCCAGGACCCAGGCTTTGTCTTTGTAGGCAGGTGGTTCTGGAGCCATGGAGCAGTCATCTGCTCTCTGACAATCAACTCAGGTTTTTCCCAGGCCCATCCTGGCCTGTCTGTCCTCAGGTCCCTGCCTCACCCTTAACCTTCTCAGCTCTGTATCAGGTCGGGGGCGGGGAAGCTCCGTCAGCTGACATCCAGATGGTCTTAGCCAGTGGGGGCTCCACTGGGATCCTGGTGGTCGGCAGGACGGGAGAACCAAGGTGTTTCTCTCCCTCTTCTTGGCCTATAGAGGAGTCTCTGGCAGTGGCCATGCCTCCTGCATGGCTCAAGCTTTCATCAGACAGGTAGGCTGTAGTTCCAATTCTGTCATTCTTTTCTGTCCCTCTGACCTAGAGATAGTGGTGGTCTCCAGCCATTGCTGAGAGTTGATTATCTCCCTGTCCCCCAGTCTGGCTTCTTGGCATCTTTTTTTTTTTTTTTTTTTTTTTTTTTAAGATGGAGTTTCACTCTTGTTGCCCAGGCTGGAGTACAATTGCATGATCTCAGCTCACTGCAACCTCCACCTCCCAGGTTCAAGCAATTCTCCTGCCTCAGCTTCCAGAGTAGCTGGGATTACAGGCGTGCGCCAACACGCCCAGCTAATTTTTGTATTTTTAGTAGACACGGGCTTTCACCATGTTGGCCAGGCTGGTCTCGAACTCCTGACCTCAGGTGACCCACCCACCTCGGCCTCCCAAACTGCTGGGATTGCAGGCATGAGCCACTGCACCCAGCCGACTTCTTGGCATTTCTAGAATGCAGTTCAGCCCCTCTGTCCTCTGGTGACTGTACATCCTCCTTCCAAGCAGAGAGTGGAATTGTGCCCCCTCCATCTTGGAAGTTAGGCGAGGTTATTGACTTGCTTTGTCTAATGCAATCAGAGCGGAAGTGACACGTGTCATGTGTCACTTCTGGATGGAATTTTAAGATGCAGTGTCAATATGCCATGTGCTCTTCCCCACCATAGCCACGGATGTGAAAACGCAGGTGGAGATGGAGCCTCTGAGACTGTGGGGGTCCCAGGGTGACCCTAGCATGTCCAGATCATGGCTGACCAGTGCAGACAAGTGGCATAAAGGAGAAATAAATGTGTATGTGCATGTGCATGTATGTTAAGCCACAGAGATGTTTTTTATTGCAACATGACTTAGCCTCATGCTGCTGATATATACACACGCCTGCCCTATTTATATCCTAGAGAGTAGGGGGTTCTTTCCCAAAAGGCACACTGACTGTGGACCAAAAATCAACTCCAAGCAACTAAATGCCTACCATTTTCCAATGCCTACCATTGGAAAACCCTAAACTCAATATATTTGCATTTGAACCAATTGTATCAGCTCATCAATTGACTCCTTCTGCCAACTGCATTTCCAGTCCCGGGGTCTCTTGAAAGCTTCGCCAAGCCTCTTCCCTAAGCTCAAAGTCCCTTCTTGTCCTCCACTACATCCCACTGGTCACCACTTCTTTAATTCATTTCAGATCCGCTCTTCTCTAGGCCCCCAGAGTCTCTCAGCTCATGTGGTGTTCCAGCTCCTGGATTCTTTTGTCCGTATATGCCCAACCTGCAATCCATGCCACGCTGCCTTAGTGGATTCCTTCTAAAATGCTTATCTTCTTTGAAATCTTCGGCACTGCCCCATTACCCACAGGAAAAACCCAAGCCACACACAGGCCCTTTTACAATCTGACTCCTCCTGTCTGCCCAGTCATCTGCTATCAATGCTTTGCTCTTCCCCCACCTCCGTCCTCCCCCATGACGTTCTAGCACTTACAGTCCCATTGGCTGCCTGGTGGAACCCTGATCATCCTTTGGGTGCCTTTCTGATGCAGGAGCACACTGGGGTCTGTAAAAGGAAAGCCTCGTGGCCTGCACCTGCAAGCTGCAGCGACTTACAGGCTGCCTCTGCAAGAGCGTGTGCCGCGTGTCGTAGCTGTTACTCTCCTGCCTCCTTTGCCCCCAAATGCTGTGCCTGGTGCAGGCAGGAACCCCATCTTTTTGTCTTTCTGTGCCTTAACACAATGCCAGAGCTATAATAACTACCCCATAAAAAAGGGAATAAATGATTAGAAACCACTCTGCTTTAATTGAGCTAATTTAATGTGTGGTGATTGTAATTGGTTCTCTTCTTCATTTCATCTGACACAACAGCATTTCAAATCTGTACTAAATTTGAGCTGTTTCTTTAGTCATAGGAGGAATTCCCTCTATATCAAAGCAGACAGCTAAGACCTCTGAACCCCTCACAGAGCAGGTCCTTGACTCTTTGCAGAAAAAGATAGTCTATTTGCCTCTTTTCTGGCTGGATGAAGATTCAGCCCCTGGAGCTACTCAGAATAAAGCTGCTGCTCTGTTATTTATTTGGAAATGATGAGTACCTCTTCTCTGCTCCATGTGGATGTGCTATGGTGGTGATTTCAAGGTGGACCATGCCCAAAGGGATGGCTGGGGTAGAATGGCTCATGAGGACAACCCCTAGGGATGCTCTGGCTGCAAAGGAAAAGTGGGGAGTGGGCATGCTTGAGAGAGGCTGGCAGGATAGAGACAGAAAGCAAGAGGAAGCCAGCTCCTTCCACCAAGATTCAGAGAGAGCCACAGGTAGCTCAGGTGGTCCCCACCTACTGACGCAGCAATGCACGGCAGACACACAACTGATGCGGAGAAGGGGACAGAAATGTGACTCCAGCTTGCCAGCAGAACCCTGAGGTGGGGGGGTGGGGTGGTCCTAGGGAAGGGACCCTGCAGTCAGGAGGAGACATCAGGGCCAAGTCTACTGCCTGTTCAACTCTTGCAACTCCAACTCCATGCACAAGACAAGATATCTGATTGCAATTTAAATTATCAATGAAACCATGTGTCAAGACTTCCTGTGCTGTATTTGACGCATTCCCAGGACCTCCAAGGTTGGAGGGCAGTGCTGTGTCAGCAGGCAATGACCACAAAGAAAATTACCTTTGGAAATGTATGTAAGAACAGCCTGCAAAGATTTCCATGCAGACCACGATTCAGAGCTCTAGGGCTATTTGCCTGCCTCTGGTCATCTCCAATTTGTCATCATCTGAGAGGCCAGGACAGAGTCTACTAGGTTGTGCCACCTCTGATGATGGCATGGTTTGGGCCTCTGCATGCCTGTTTTTAGACAACATTGGGAGCCTCCACTAGAATTGAGCTTTCAGTTTCATTTCAGTCAGTGGGTGTAGTGGCAAAGTGCTGGTTACCAGTGAGCAAGCTGAGAGTCACCCTAACCCTAACCCCAACTCTAACCCTCCAGTGTGGGCTTTCTAGTTGCCCCATTTGGAATAGGGCTTCTTATAGTCTAAGTCTGAAAATATCTGTTGTGAAGATGCAAATAGAGATTAACATTTCAAAGGGTAGTGTTAAAAAATTGGCAGTCCACTTTTTGATGCAATCTATCCATCCGACAAAGGGCTAATATCCAGAATCTACAAACAACTTAAACAAATTTACAAGAAAAAAACAACCCCATCAAAAAGTGGGCGAAGGATATGAACAGACACTTCTCAAAGGAAGACATTTATGCAGCCAATAAACATGAAAAAATGCTCATCATCAATGGTCATTAGAGAAATGCAAATCAAAACCACAATGAGATACTATCTCACGCCAGTCAGAATGGTGATCATTAAAAAGTCAGGAAACAACAGATGCTGGAGAGGATGTGGAGAAATGGGAACACTTTTACACTGTTGGTAGGAGTGTAAATTAGTTCAGCCACTGTGGAAGACAGTGTGGTGATTCCTCAAGGATCTAGAACCAGAAATACCATTTGACCCAGCAATCCCATTACTGGGTATATACCCAAAGAATTACAAATCATTCTACTATAAAGACACATGCACATGCATGTTTATTATGGCACTGTTCACAATAGCAAAGACTTGGAACCAACCCAAATGCCCACCAATGATAGACTGGATAAAGAAAATGTGGCACATATACACCATGGATTACTATGCAGCCATAAAAAGGATGTCATGTCCTTTGCAGGGACCTGGATGAGGCTAGAAACCACCATCCTCAGCAAACTAACACAGGAACAGAAAACCAAACACCACATGTTCTCACTCATAAGTGGGAGCTGAACAATGAGAACACATGGACACAGGGAGGGGAACATCACACACCAGGGCCTGTTGGGGGTGGGGGGCTAGGGGATGGATAACATTAGGAGAAATACCTAATGTAGATGATGGGTTGATGGGTGCAGCAAACCACCATGGCATGTGTGTACCTATGTAACAAACCTGCACATTCTGCACATGTATCCCAGAACTTAAAGTATATATATAAAGATTTAAAAAAATTGTCAGCCTTTGGAAGGTTGAAAGTTCACAGGCTGTGAATTGCCACTCTTAGTTTGCTAATTTTTAGACCCCATGGAAACTCTCTCTGTTGAAAGCTCTCCCTACCTCCTCTCCCTCTTTGCCTACCTGTCTTGTCTTTGCTCCTTGTCATTCTGTCTCAGTCCTCCTTAATACCCCCTTCTCTTGGGCTTTCCTCATATACCGTACATATATTTTCTCTATTCTTTGTGTGTGTGTTTGTTGTTTCTCTATCTCTTCTACATTTTCTTCCTTTCTCCTTTTTTTTTCTTCTTATCCTTACCGGGCCCGTCCTCATTTCAATAATGTGACATAAAATATTTTTAAAGTATTTTTAATTTATTAAATAAAGTTGCTGTAATTTTTTTCACAGCAAATTACTCACAAAAATAAATCTGGTTTTGATCAAACACTTACAATTTGTTAATCTTAATCAAACATTTAAAATATATCTCTTGCTTACCCTTAAAAAAATGATTGAAGTTGACTTTTTGGAGGTGGCTGATGAATGGCACATAGCAGGAAAAAAATGGCACATAGCACCTCTTCCCTGCTCCAGAAGAAGAATACATTCCTTTCCCATTATGGTATTTCCTTAGCCATTGATGTGGCTAGCCATTTGCTAGCATGTGGACACGTAGGGTGATGAGAGAAGAATCTCTATCCAGTTCTAGTTAAACATAGAGATGTTCTAGTAACCAGATGGTTTTTGCTTGGCAGTTTAACAAGCAAAGTGTTTATTGGCTTTGGAAACCCATTCATAGCATTGTGTTTTAGGTATTCATGGTTCTGTTTTTTTTTTTTTTTTTCTTCCAGAGTGTGACCATGGTTTATGTTCCTATCAATTTTATTGTGTGGCAATTATATGTTAATTCTTTGCTCAGCCTACTGACAGAATCTCCTTACCTAATTATGCATTTCATTGTAGACTTCTATGTAAAATAACTGTGTAGTATATTTAATTAGTCATGAGTTTAATTTAAATGAAATGTTTGGTATGTTGACCACATGATTAGCATTTTGTAGCATCTATAGAAGTTGCCTTACATCTTATACATTTTATAATGTCCTGTATCTTTGTAAGGACCAATAAACTCGGACACTGGGTATGATTCTAAGGTCTGTTCTCCACTTTTAAATTTCCTTATGCATTGAGAAACATTTATGCAATCTTTTTCATCATGACAGAGCACATTAGAAGAATGGGTGTACCCAGTCATCTACCAAAGGATTTGAAATTCAACTTTGATATAATTCTCTTATGACAGTTGATTCACAGACCAAAATCATTAGAAATACTGTCCAGCCAAACCTGAAATGTAAAACCAATAAATCAATAGTCAGGTGAAGAGCTCTTATTTAAATGTATCTGGAAACCAATATAAATGGAAAAATTAAAATAGCTTTACCAGAAATATTAATCAGTACAGTACCCCTTACAATTCAGTCAGATGAGTTAAAAATAATATTCACTGAACCAGAGTATCAATTTCTAACGGAAGCCTTGGGAAAACTGTTAGCCTCATAACTTATGCACAACACCATCTGATTTAATTCACCCAGACACCTGAGACTCAGTTCATGGACAATGATGCTTAGGTTCTAAGCCACTGATCCTCCTGTCATTTAGAGAACGTGTTGGTGAATTTGGACTTAAAGATTAGAAAGAAATCTGCTCATGTGCTGTGGATTGTGAATTAGTTAGTAAGGCCCACGGATCCACTCCATATTTGGACAATACAGGCTGGTCCATTTTGTGATGGCACTGGCCACACTCTTTCATTCCAGGTCTGAGAAGAGCACATTTCATCACTTTAGGATGCTTTCACTTACAGAGAACCAGTCATATGATTTGGTTCTGTGTCCCCACGCAAATTGAATTGTAACCCCCAATGTTGGAGGTGGGGCCTGGAGAGACATGATTCAATCATGGGGGCGGATTTCCCCTTCAGTGCTGCTCTAGTGATAGTGAGTGAGTGCTCGAGAGATCTGGTTGCTTAAAAGTGTATGGAACCACCCCTCCCTCTCTTCCTCCTGTTCTGGCCATGTGACATGCTTGCTCCCTCTTTGCCTTCCACCATGATTGTAAGTTTCCTGGGGCCTCCCCAGAAGCTGATCGGATGCCAGCACCATGCTTCCTGTACAGCCTCTGGAACTGTGGAGCTAATGAAACCTCTTTCCTTTATCAATTACCCAGTCTCAGGTATTTCTTTATAGCAGTGTAAGAATGGACTAATACAACCAGTTTGGGGTTCTTCAAACCAAGTTATAAATTCTTTTAACATTTTCAGTTTCCAAGACTACAGGTAGAAAAAAAGGACGGAGCAGAGAGCAGGGCAGAAGATGATACAGAAATGAGAGCAGGGGAGAGGGGTGTCAGTGCTGAAGGGATTTTATTCTTTACCCAGTCCTTTCATCACAGTGAAATGTGAAATTAGCATGTGTTCAAGACTTATGTAAAATTACACAGAGGTTTGGGGTCAGGAATGAAAGGAAATCAATGTAAATAACTTTTTAAAGTTATATTTTCTTGGTATGGGTGGATATTTTGGAATAAAGGTTCACTGACTATGCTACAGAGGAACACCTTTATTTAATAGTCTCATGATTTCGGGAGGAGGAAGGTGCACAGTTAAATGTGGGCAACATTAATGGTTAATTTTTGCCGGCCAAATTTAAAAAGGTGTTCATGGAGAAGTGTTTGTAAGCCTCCACTGTAACTTTCCATATGAAATCCATCACCAGGAGGAATTTCCATTTTTCAAAGGAAAAAATATGCCTTGATGGTTTATTTCATACTCATATGGTCTTTAATAATTAGACTTCAATATAGAAAATTGCATTTCTCATTTGAAGAAGGCTTTATTCGAATAAATTCCACTTTCCTTTTTTTATTTTTAATTTTTTTTTATTTTGAGACCTGGTCTTGCTCTGTTGTCCAGGCTACAGTGCAGTGGCATGATCTTGGCTCACTGCAACCTCTACCTCCTGGGTTCAAGTGATTCTCCTGCCTCAGCTTCCGAATAGCCATAATAGGGATTACAGGCATGCGCCACCATGCTCAGCTAATTTTTGTATTTTTAGTAGAGACAGGGTTTCACCATATTAGCCAAGCTGATCTTGAACTCCTGACCTCAAGTGATCTGCCCGCCTCGGCCTCCCAAAGTGCTGGGATTATAGGCATGAGCCACCATGCCCAGCCCCCTTTCCTCTTAAAAAATGCTACGGCAACCAAAACAGCATGGTACTGGTACCAGAACAGAGACACAGACCAATGGAACAGAACAGAGCCCTCAGAAATAATACCACACATCTACAGCCATCTGATCTTTGACAAACCTGAGAAAAACAAGAAATGGGGAAAGGATTCCCTATTTAATAAATGGTGCTGGGAAAATTGGCTAGCCATAAGTAGAAAACTGAAACTGGATCCTTTCCTTACTCTTTATACGAAAATTAATTCAAGATGGATTAGAGACTTAAATGTTAGACCTGATACCATAAAAACCGTAGAAGAAAACCTAGGTAATACCATTCAGGACACAGGTATGGGCAAGGACTTCATGTCTAAAACACCAAAAGCAATGGCAACAAAAGTCGAAATTGACAAATGGGATCTCATTAAACTAAAGAGCTTCTACACAGCAAAAGAAACTACCATCAGAGTGAACAGGCAACCTACAGAGTGGGAGAAAATTTTTGCAATCTACTCATCTGACAAAGGGCTAATATCCAGAACCTACAAAGAACTCAAACAAATTTACAAGAAAAAACAAACAACCCCATCAAAAAGTGGGCAAAGGATATGAACAGACATTTCTCAAAAGACATTCATGCAGCCAATAGACACATGTAGAAAAGCTCATCATCACTTACCATCAGAGAAATGCAAATCAAAACCACAATGAGATATCATCTCACACCAGTTAGAATGGCAGTCATTAAAAAATCAGGAAATAACAGGTGCTGGAGAGGATGTGGAGAAATAGGAACACTTTTACACTGTTGGTGGGATTGTAAACTAGTTCAACCATTGTGGAAAACAGTATGGCGATTCCTCAAGGATCTAGAACTAGAAATACCATATGACCCAGCCATCCCATTACTGGGTATATACCCAAAGGATGATAAATCATGCTGCTATAAAGACACATGCACAGGTATGTTTACTGCGGCACTATTCACAATAGCAAAGATTTGGAATCAACCCAAATGTCCATCAGTGACAGACTGGATTAAGAAAATGTGGCACATATACACCATGGAATACTATGCAGCCACAAAAAAGGATGAGTTCGTGTCCTTTGTAGGGACATGGATGCAGCTGGAAACCATCATTCTCAGCAAACTATCGCAAGAACAGAAAACCAAATACCACATATTCTCACTCATAGATGGGAATTGAACAATGAGATCACTTGGACACGGGAAGGGGAACATCACTGGGGCCTATTGTGGGGAGGGGGGAGGGCAGAGGGATGGCATTGGGAGTTATATCTGATGTAAATGACGAGTTGATGGGTGCAGCACACCAACATGGCACATGTATACATATGTAACAAACCTGCAAGTTGTGCACATGTACCCTAGAACTTAAAGTATAATAAAAAAAAAAAATTGTAACACAAACCTGAACAAGTAATGAAAAAAAAATGCTTTGTGTATCCTGTTTATTTAGCTTAAGAGCACTATAACGCTACGTTCAAAACCTAAATCATCACAAGCTATTTATACTGCAAGGTCTCCATTTTTTAATAGCTCTGTCTGAAATTTCTGAAGTACACCTGAAGGGTTTAACAATGATTTATCATTCTTTCCTCTCTTTAGATCATCCAGCCCATGGAATAGATGCCCAGAAAAAACTTCAGCTGACTTTGACTAAACCTCCTAAAAGTTGGTTTGAAATTACTGTGGGTCCTAATCCCCAGCGCAGTGTTACAAATAAAATCTATTTTTGTTCTTCAGCTCCATACTGTGGGTAACAGTTTCAGCACAGAATTTGACCTCAAGCAACATGAACTCCGAATAACGCATAAAGTAACATCAACAGGAGGCAGTGTGTGTGAAACAGATCTCGGTCCCGTAACAGCGAAAGAGAAGGACAAATCAGATCATCACACGGGATGTCTCTTTTGTGCGATTTCGCATTTTCCCATTCAAAACAAAAAATAAATAATAAATTTGAAGCTACTCACTCATGGATTCTGTCAGCTTGGCCATTGTTGCAGTTTCTTCTTTGTGCTTTTCCTGGAGGTGAGAAGAAAAGACAATGATCTATAAAACATGTCTTAGATATGAATTGATCTAATTGCCATTTACAGCTAAAAGTTCCTTCTTTTTCCTAGGTCAGAATTTGGTTTCCGATAATTCAATGAATAAAAACCCCACATTATAGTTATATTATCAGTCAGTCACTGAAAAGAGATTTTTAGGGCATTAAAAAGCTTCCCATTGCTCTTGGAAATGAGCGTCTGTCACACTGATCTTGGATATATATAATTGGTGACGCACGACCAGTTTTCAAAACCTCTTTGACACTGGATTTTTGACATCCATATGCCAATTTTTTTTTCCTCTCTGTTTTCCCCTATTGAAGCTTTCTTGGTATTTTTGGAGTTGATATTTTTGTAGTCATTTGGTTTCTTCTTTCCAAAAAACTAAATAGATTTTATACATATTTCTTTGTCTTACTTTTTGGGTTCCTGGAGCCTTTTAAAAGTCGTAAGCTTTGATGGGTTTATAACCTTATCTACTTTGTGCTGAAAACATTTTGTTTTAACCAAGATATAGGTTATAACCCACTGAGTTTGAAAGCCAGAATAATACATACAGAAATTCAATCTGTCCTAATTAAAACATGACCTTGGAGCTATTAAGAATACTGGTCATCTCTACTGAAAAGTTCTCTTTAATTTCTCCACAGTTCTTTGGCTTTCTTTAATTTCTTTGAGTTCCTAACATATGTAGTAACTGAAACATTGTCCACTGTTATTATGCTTTTTCTGCAGCTTTGTTTTTCTGTGAAACTAAAATGTTCATTATTTTAAAACTTCAGAAAAAAACTGAAAATTATAAATCTAATGCCACCCCCAGAGGAAATCATGGTTACATTTTGGTGACTGCTTTCTAGGCCCATTTCTTTACCTGTGCATATTTACAGATATGGGAATATGATCCTATTCTCATAGAGATAAGTATCTGTACTATACACATTTTGTGTTGAAGCAATGTTTTCATTTAATATCATATCACACATCTTTCTATGCCAATAAAGGTAGAATACGTCATCATTTTTTAATGACTGTATAGCTCATCATGGGTTATATCATCATTTCCTTTACCAGATCCCATTTAATTTACTTAGAATTTTTCACTACTTCATAAAACACTGGGATGAGCATCTTGGACCTTATATGGTTGTGCACTTGTTCTGTGCAAGTTATTTTCTGAGGATAAATCCTAAGGTGAGGTATGGCTTGATCAAAAAGTCTAAATATTAAAAATTCTGACATACAGTGGTCAATTGTCCCCCACAAAGGTTGTACCTGACAGTGTATAAAAGTGTTCAGTTCCTTATTAGCACTTTTGCCCCCTAATCTTTGCTAAATCAACAGGCAGACAACATGATCTTGTTATTTTACACTATTGTCTTTCTCTGACCTTTTGTTTTATGGACAAGTGTAGTGTTCTTCCCCATGTCATCGTTATGAAGTTAACTCATGGTTTCACATTGTTGTGTTCCAGCCCCTCTGCCATCAACATTTTAGTGCTTAGAAGCCCAGGGTGGTATTTGCTTTTCCCCATGGCCCTGATACAATGCTGAGTACAGTCTAGCAGTTTGGCTAACACTCGAATTGATGTGTCATGGCTTGGGTGTTGTAGTACGGATAGCAAGATCATTATTCGTCCTCCCTATGACACTATTCCCAAACTAGAAGGGTATGCTTTGATTCAATGGCAACAAACAACTTCGCACATGGCAAGTATTCTTGATTTCCACAGCCCTGTATTCATGACAACGAAATCAGCACACCACCTCTTACTTAAACTACTAATTGCCCTTGAGAACAGAAGGAGCTACGGAGTTGTAATCTACTAACCTGCTTGCTGTGGCATTTCGCCCATGATATTTAGCCTACCACTTGGGTTATGTCAACATGCAGAGAAACAGCATGGCGTGCGCCAGTAGAGAGGCTAAGTGTCACGTCACGGAGCTGAATAAGACAGGCAGAGAGGAGCCTCTCACACAACGCTGGTTCATGCGAGTGTGCACAGCGGCTGCTCACCAGCCGACCCCAGTGGGTTGTAACAATTCAGGCAGAAAAGCTGTTCCATGGCAGGGACTCAGTGAAGTTGGTCCCAGAGCTTGTTCTGTCTCTGTGTGTCCTGTCATTGACTCTCAGCTCTCCTCGTAGCCCAGTTCTGCTGTGTTGATCTGTCTAGCCGTACTGGCTCTCCTTGTGTCCTGGTCTGTGACTTGACTTCTCCATTTTCTGGCTCTGTGCTCCATCAGGCCTCACTCTGGATCACAGACCTCTTCAGCTTGACCCTCCTCTGATGGCACCAGTGGTAAGAACCCCCCAACCCCAAACCATAGGCGTCCAGATTCCAGGCATTATATTTTTAACAAGCCCTGTTTAGTGTGTCTGTTTTCTTGTGTGTGTGTGTGTGTGTGTGTGTGTGTGTGTGAGACCACTTCATCTCTTGTGACCTAAGGACCCTGCCACATTCTGGACCCCGGTCTTGCTGGTGGGTGGTCCTTGCAGCTATTTTTGTTCAGATGTGCTGGATATCTTAGTCCTAGAGATGTCAAATACCACCTGGACCAGCAATTTCCTCTTCCCTGTAGTTAAATGGAATCCTCTGACATTAAGTGGGGAGAGGCTCCTAAAATCCTAAATATAGCTCTCCCAGACTGACTCATCTATATCATAACTTATGGTGGAAATCATGACATATGTTTTGGTGTAAGTAGTTTAGTTATTCTATTGGATGTCTCTAAACTCCTTATGTCCTTCCCTCATTATCAGAAAGTTGATGTTTGCAGTTACACAACATGTATATCCAATAAAGCATTTACATTCATTCTCGGTCCCAAGCAAATTCTCCTTATTCTAAAGCCAAGAGTTTCCTTCACAGCAAATTTCCTGGTTGTTGGATTTACATTACTGGGAAGAGATTTAGAATTATAGCATATTAAAATTGGAAGTGATTCTTTTAGAGATTGTCAAGTCCAACCCCATATTGATGCAGTTGATGAAACTGAAGCCCAGGGAAGAGTGTGATGTGCCAGGAAAGGATTTAGAGGGAGCCGATCCCTTTCCCTTATCCACAACCTCTGCTCTCCCAGAAATCTCAAGGCCCATCAAACCTAAGCCCATTTAGCCAAGATCCCTCACACAACAGTCCCAGTGCAGTGTTGAAGTTTCCTAGATTTGCCATTTCTATGTTCTTTCTTTGAGTATTCTCATTCACAACAATGTCCCTAATTTCCATGAATGGCTGGCAATGCCCAGATTTGCATATCCTGCCCTGACCTCTCCATGGAACCCCTGCTCTCCACTTCTTCCTCCTTCCTCACTCCTTGATATATTTTGCTTTTTTTTTTTTTTGAGATGGAGTCTCGCTCTGTCGCCAGGCTGGAGTGCAGTGGCAGGATCTCAGCTCACTACAACCTCCGCCTCCCAGGTTCAAGTGATTCTCCTGCCTCAGCCTCCCGAGCAGCTGGGATTACAGGTGCACACCACCACACCCAGCTAATTTTTGTGTTTTTAGTAGAGATGAGGTTTCACCAAGTTGGTCAGGCTGGTCTTGATCTCTTGACCTCGTGATCCGCCCACCTCGGCCTCCCAAAGTGCTGGGATTACAGGCGTGAGCCACCATGCCTGGCCTATTTTGCATACTTTAAAGTTGGTCTTCCCTCACTGCACTCTACTTAGGAGACTATTAACATTGCCTCCACCTGATTGGAACCTCACCTACAACCCGGAAGGTTTATCATGAAATAGCTCCGGGGGATCTATCTAAAACACAAACCTGACGTGGCCTCTCCCTGCTTGATCAGTTCTCCTCCAGCAAGTGAGAATGCAGTCCTTGCTTTCAGCCAGGGCCCCTGGACTGATGGCTCTTTCTTCTCCGCTCATACCTTAGGTCCAGCTCCCTGCAACCCACGACTGTCTTCTACCTCCCTGCCTTGGCAAGCACTATTCCCTCTGCCTAGATACTTCAAGTTCCACTTCATTCTTGTCCTCTGCAAATTCATCCTGAAAAACTCCACTGGGCACCACCCAGTCTCTGCTGGCTCCCCTGCTCTTTCTGACCATTTTCCTGAGTTTTATCTTCAGGTGTGTTTGTGCACAAACGCATCCATGTGTCACACTGCATAATTTGTTATGGTATCGAGGGACTCTGGAAGCTTTGGAAAATTCCAAAGCCCCATCTCAATAGCCTCATCTGGAGGTCATGGGTGGGAGGCGGTGTGTGGTAGACCAGAAGCCCTGACCACTAAACCTCCCTAGGAACCTGGACAAGTCATTTTACTTTTTGGGCTACTGTTTCCTGGTGTGCTCATTTCAGAAGTGGTCCGCTGCTTGCTGTGTTCTGCCCCGTCCTCCATCCCTTACCCCTGCGGAAGTCAGCAACAGGAAGAGGATACCTGAACATGCTCGGATAGGCTGTGACTATTGGTGATATTTTAAAGTGAAAAAAGACAGATATGTTTGCTTCAAGAACTTGCGTTAAAAACGTCTTTCCCTGGGGGAGCCGAGGGTTTTTATATCCAAGGTAATCATCTCATGTTGTTTCAAAATGAAAAGAAAATCAGAAATGCAGGAATCATACTTGTTGGGAGAAAAGCATTTACTTTGGCCTGAAACTTTTTTGTTCTTGTTTATTGTGTCTGTCCCACTTGGATGTTCTTAGAGAGAGTGGCGGGGAGAGGGAGAAAGAGAGCATGTATATAAGAGTTTGGAAGCCTGAGTCTAGAAGGGTTTTTGTCATGGCTTTACCACTTCTTATCCACTCATTAACTAATCTTGGAAGCTCTAATTTTCTCATCTTTAAAGTGGGGATAGGTGGAATTTGCACTGCCTGGTTCACAGGACTGTTTGAGGAACAAATGAGACGAGGCATATAAATACACTCAAGTGTAATGTCCATGTGTAGGTTTGTAATCATTATTCCATTTGGCTACCGTGTGGGGGCCCAGAGTCAGAACCTGTTCTTGCTCTTTGAGGACAAATATTGAC